CGACTATATTTGCCCTGCTTGAATAATTTCTCCAGAGTTTTTCTCGAGAGGCCTCAAGGATTTTAGAAGAGGTTCAATGCGTGCAATTATATGTTTTATTCTCTTTTGATGCACTAGTTTATGTTGAGTATTGATCAAAGATTTTAAGTTTTCTTCAATGTCTGCTGATAATTCTGACAAGCCCACTTTTGGCCTCTGCAGCAACCCACAATTGAATGTTTGCAATCTTTTCCATATTGTTTCTTCTGTGGATGGACTGACAGTCGGACCATATGGGCGCACAAAATTCGTTGGGAGATGCTTAAACCACTTAACACTCTTTTGGAGTTATAAATCATTTGCCTTCTGAAGGTATATGTCAATTCCATCTTTCTGCTCACAAGCTCTTGGTTGGGTTGCTTTTTCTTCTTTTCTTCTATCATCCATACAGAATAAGCTTTGCAGGATGTTTCATTTTCCCCATAAATTGGAGGAGGTGCCCAATTCACAATACCTCTTCTTAGAACAGCTTTTACAATAAATTCTTACAATACATTTTACACTTGTTTTGTAACTTTTTCCTAGTTAACAATTTCAAATAATCAAAATCGTATAATCAAAATAAATTTGAACCCTTCCAGCCATTGGAATCTTTTGTTAATCGAGAGTAATTCAGTCACAGGGGTGGTAAAAATAGGTGAGCGCACAAGTAGACGTACTGTATTGCAGGTCTGTAGCTAAATCATTATGTGGGGAAGCTCAAACATTATGTAACTATTTCATGCATGTCGTTGTTTCCACTAAGTGCAGAGGGTCGTTTGTTTTCACTTTCGTCTTTATTTTTGTCGGCATCCTAAAACTTTACTACATAGGACTGATTTTACTGCCAAAATTCTCGCGATAGGTACAAAAAGTATGGTGAGGCAGGGGTGGATCCAGCACTAGTGCATTAATTTGCATGACAGCTAAAATAACCACTTGTAATGCAAATTAGTGCACTAGTGCTGGATCCCACTAGTGAGATATATATGTATGTAATGAAGAATTAAGCAATATTGGGGTCTGTACAGTAAAATGTTATGGTTCGGTTGCTGGCTCCAAACATTTAATCTAAATAACCAAATAATGAGATTGAAAACTGTTTATTTAGAAAATGCTCCTAATAATATTCTTGGCTAGAAATCTAATTAAGGAACAAGAATTTTGATCTGCTTGAAACAAGAATTTAAGTAAATAATTGCTAAAAGAAGAACTATTGTTGTTATATATAGTTCTTCGCTAGACAAGAATTGTTCTAAGAATAACCTTACTAACAAGTAAGAAAATTTTTGCCCAATATAAGTAAAGTTTCATGCAGAAACTTTCTCCTAAATAAATAAATCTGATTTAATTAAAACGACAATTAATATAAATATAGTGAAGATAAAGTTTGCAAAGCATGGATTTTTATATCAAACACCGACACGTCCTTAATTGTTCTTAAATTTAGTATATTCTGACATTACAGACCTGAAAACATTTATCATATAACCTGGGGTGTTTTTGTCCCGAAATATCATAATTTTGCAACTTAGTAAGAAAACCAATCTCGCGTGACCTTAAATAGTCCAAAAGATAAAACAATCCCATCAGAGCGAGCATTGCTTGTTGAACTTTTCTCCAATTTATTTACTATGATGTTTCCCATGTAAACCAATTATGCCAGTTTTGAATCCACCAGCATTGCATGGCACCATCGTTAAGTGTTTTTTGCACAAAACATTCTGGTCTTACCCCTGGTACAAAAAAAAATTAGAGACAAATTAATTAAAAGTGCATGATGCCTTAGCGAGGAAAATGTCGTTATAATATAATGAGAATCATTAGAATACTGATTTATTTACCTTTATGGTGTACACCAAATCACAAGACACCCTCTTTCCTTTTTTTTCGGCCTTTTAGTGTCGACCAACTATAAAAATATAAATGGTTCACGTTTAGAAGGCATCTTCGAAGTGCAATACCTCTACTTGGTTTCGAAGTGTGTCCAATCAGAAACATTTACATGTTTTCGCACATTTACCAACACTTTTCTGCTGCATGCATGCATGACAGAGAGGACTAGCTTACTAATGTATGTACTTTGGGTGATCTATAGAAAGGAAACTATTTCCTCAAATGGAACTCCAAATATAAAATATTAATGTATATTATATATATATATATATATATATATATATATATATATATATATATATATATATATATATATATATATATATATATATATATATAATATATTATATTAATATATAAATTAACTCATGTTTAGCCATCTGAACTGAATTTCCACTTTTTGGTACAGAATTCAAGTCGTACATTAATTTTATTACATTCATACATTAAAAAGATTTAACAAATATATTTTGCCTGACAACTGAAAGGTTTGATTTGTTTCAATGGCAAGTGAAGTCTACGTAGTCGATATACGTAGCTACATTCTATACCAAGGCTCTTTGATATAGTATTCCGAACTACAGCGCTAACTCATGTTTGGTCATCTGAACTGAATTTCCACTTTTTAGTACAGAATTCAAGTTACTTTGTGCAACAATATAATCAGGAATTTCATCACATAAAAAATTGTTTGAAAGATTTTAGGAGTGTTGGTTCATTTTCAAGTCGATCAGGGAAAGGGAACTCCAATAAACACTGTATCTACTGTTTTTTCTTACCAGTTTTTTCTCACCAATTTCCTCCTTGCTCCATATAACCAGGACATTGGCATGAAGTTCTCCTGTAGTCTTGCACCACCTAACATTATCTGGATCGGTTGGTTAAATATATACGTTTGGTCGTGTTCTGCAATCTCCGGGTTTAAAATATAATTGTCGAATATTTCTTTGCCACACAGGTCCGCTATCCTTCATCTAAAGTATTTTCGACTCTTTGATAATCTTCCTCATAGTATCCAACAAGACTTCGTTCAAGTCCCATCTTAAGGCAACCTCCTGTCATAAACTGTTCTTCTTAGGCTGGTACTGTTTGCCATTTTCGTTCTTCAACTTCCCACTACATGACTAAGAATATGAGCAACAGATTCGTTTTGTGTGCCGCTGCGTATAATTTCCGTATATCCCCATGCTATAGACTTTGCGTTTCAACAATTGGCCCTTTTTTGGTAATATATAATCAGCCAAAGTGATAATTGCCTCTATGTGTTGTTGCTGGTGATCAGATCCCGCGTCACCGAGCTTTTTTAAGAGAGCGTTTATATTTTCTTTTAATCTTCCTTTCAAAATGTTAAACGCTACAAACTTGTCGTCTCTTGTAGTGGAAATGTTAGTGTTTTTTCTTCCGACCGTGCACTATTACTATAATTTCATTCACGTATATGCGGGTGAATATGCTGTCACATCTTCGGATGAACATGCTGGCACATTTCCGCTTTCCATGTAATCAGTCTTTCGCTTTTTAGTCAATTATATCGTGGCAGTAATCGCAGGGGCAGAATTGTCTTACAATCTTTGCAGTACGCATATATGCAGCATGTGTCATCCAAAATGTCAAATTTTCACTCTTGTTTGTAGGTATAAGTGGCGTTGCATTCTCACTTTGTTGAACATGACTGTTCCTTTCTATAAATTGCGTTTTTTGTGATAATGGTCTGATTGTCGTCGTGCTCTGTTGTTATATCTGCACTTATTTACAGCCAATACCGCTGCCGCCAACAATCTTGTGATTTTTGGCTATATCCCAAATGGAACGCATTTCTAGCAATATAATATAGTGAATGTAAGGAAGACTGCGGATATGCTCTGACTTCGCGAAATAAATTGACATGTGTTTGTATCTTGATAACAAAAGCAAAACAAAATAACACAGACCTTTAGTCAGTTCGTAAAACTTACGAAACAAACTCATAGTAAATTAACAATCTCACACTCAAGTGAATCATATATGTATATGCAGAACAATGCTTTTAAAAAATATGTTTTCGAAATTCAGACTTAAAATGCTGCGCGAAATCTAAAAGGAGCTAAAAATAACAGATAGTTAAACCTATGAAAGTTAACAAACGAATGTTATTGGGAATATTTGGTGTAAGTTTCAGCCTTATACATTTGAGTGAGTGGAATGTACGCGAGAAAATAGACTACGCGTGTACATAATTTAATTTTTGAAATTATGCACTGGAAAACATTGTATATACGCATGCATGGAGCAAATTATATATATTAACATAATTTGAATTCCGTACAATTCCGTAAAATAATAAACAAAATAAGGAGATATATAAAATTAGGCTCACCTGATATATTAAGTGAAGCAGACGCCACCGGCCCCTGCATCGTGGCGTATGCGTCTCTATCGACAACAGTGGTGTAGATTGGATGTTGTGCGACTGGAGGTTGGCCATGACCGCCTGCGTAGTTTCCGAAATCATTCGGGCGGGAGTATATATATATTAAAAAATCACTTTCTTATTTTGAGAAAAAAAACTTATTTTAAGAAAATATTTCTTAATATGAGAAATATTTTCTTGGGAGATTAATAAGAAAATTATTCTTAAAAATTTTCTTAAGAAAGCTAAGTAATATTTCTTTAAAATAGGAAATTGTTTCTTAAGAGAATGTTCCCAAGAAATTTTTTCTTACTCTCCCAAGAAAAATTTAGATAAGAAAATATTACTTAAAAAAAGTCTTATTTTAAGAAAATTGAAATAAGGCTTCCCTTAGGTATATAATAACGTAAATTTTAGGGGGGAACAAAATAGAGAGCATGAAATGCATCATAACCACGAGTTTATCATAGATGTTATATAAATAGAAAATATACTTACTCTTACAAGGCTATACATGGACACAATTCATGCATTAATTATACGATGGATTGTATACATGCATGCAGTATACGGATTTCTACTCATTTTCTAATATAAGTTTCCTATAAGCAATATATGCTAACTGAAAATGGCCTGAAATGTCTTGTGGCACATCACAATCTTTACATATAGTGTATTGCAAAATGTTCAGTCCAAGTTCAAGGAAACGTAGGTAGTCGAAATCTAGCAAATAAAAATTTGCCAAAAGTGCAAAGATCCCTTGATCTAGATGGCATGCTTCTATCTCGGCCAAAATAACTTTCCCAATGATGAGGTAAGACTTGTCTTTCTTGAGCAGTAAAACTGGAACATTTCCTGAACGCTTGGAACACCAAATGTCTGGATCTTCTTGATCCTTAAACAAAAATGGCACTGGTTAAATAATACCCAATTATGGTTGCATTACTCAGTTCATAATGATACGTAGAAGAAAGATTGAGATGTATAGAAGAAACACAGGGCATTATTTCATCCCCATGACAAAAAAATTATGGGAAGTGGAGTGCATGGTATTATAATGTAAAACATGGATGTGACAAAACTTAATATAGTACGCGCTTATAATATTCCCGAAATGATCGATACATATTAGCTCAGGTTGTCTGCTTTCCCGTTGTTTTTTTTGTTTTTTTCTAAACTAACTTGCTCTGCCAAAGATAAAGCACTTTAATGCTACATGCTATGGGAAAATGAATAAAATTTCTAATTTTAACAAAATTATTCATCTTACAAAATATATGATAATTTTATCAACATAAGTATAAAAGACCCATCATCATTCATTGTAATGAATCAGATTATCACAAACAGTTAAGTTAAGTCTACGGCTGTAAAAGTGTGTGCAAAGCGCGTTATTATTTAAGCGTAAAATATGAGCAAGCAACCCATTAATGTGCCCTGCTACAGCACCCGCTCCATCATTTACCTTTCGCTCCACATTCACAATAGACACTTGTTTGTAAGGCATCTAAGATTAACTTGTGTAATCAATACTTCTTCACTCGAAGCCCATTTGCGCTGTAAAAAAGAAAGGAGCTCTTCTTGAATATTCATTTCAGAATCAAAATGCAAAAATGGACATTTGTCTTTTGCGAGATGTGACTCCAGCTTCATCTGCATGCATACCACACCGAACGATATCAGTTCTTTACCTATAGAAAATATAATATTTATTTGCACTCTTTTAGATTACTGGACTATTATAAACTTTGTATATAACCTTAAGATGCTGCGTAAATCTGCAAATATAGGCCTATACCTTGCCAACTTTATAGGTACTAACTTCCGACAAATGGCCTTCGTTGGAAACGTCTAGACATCTGGGAAAGATTGTTGTGCGATGCGAATTATACATACCCCAAAAAGGTCTACATCCAGTTTGAAATTGAAATGTAGCGTTCGGTCGTTGCCAACTGCCATCTACTTGATGCAATCGCATTTCCCGAATACCCCATACCAACACAGAAACTAGGTTTACTTGTGCATCTAGGAGCCCATCAGGTAATCACTAGTTCCAACAGTGTCGTAAGTAGCGCCAAACAGCACCACTTTCATTGCACAAATTTGGTTCTTTGTTGGAAGAATGGCGAAGTCTGTGGTTTTCTTAAATTAAACAATAGATAAACGTTTTTTCACATTGTATTGTCCTGGCTTTATCAGTTTTATCCTTTAAAATATGGAACAAATTGTCTAAACCTATGTTAGTTTTCAAAACAGTAGTTCACGAAATTCAAAAGGTACTGCAATGTTTGTATAACATTTACATTATACAATACACCATATTATGCAAAATTTATTGTATGGCAATTACAGTGCATTATACACATTTGTGTATTTTTGATATGTACTTGCCCACATAGTCTTACAGGACTATGTGTTTGTATGAAATATGAGAGAGGATATCAAATATCAACATACCCTAGGTGATCCAAGTTGGGTAAGGTTAAGTATAGGGTCTTCCATCTGAAAGCATCTGAAATTTTTGTTCTGATTCTCAGAAGAAGATAGGCCCAATCTGGCATTCGAATGGATTTTAGGAGAATTGACTGGCTTTGTTTCGAAAGAGTCGTGTTGAATGCTTCTTTGGCCTCCAGTCTTGAGAAGATCACATCCGTTGCCCCAACCACAACAAATTGATGCCAAATTGCCGATAACTTCGTTGATGTTCTCCTGATAGGCATACGCAACAACATTCCGGGATTTCATGAATTGGCCACCTTTTGTTTTAATGCGACGCTTTTTTTCTTGTGGCGTTATTTTTTAGATTTAATGAGAGCGCTTGTGGAGGCGCGCGGCGATGTAATTTTGGCGGGAGATTGAAACGGTATGGATTTTGTCTATTTTATTTAGACACTTTCGAGCGCGCACAGAGAAAAACAGTCTCCTGTTCCTCATCTTTTTCTTTCAGAAGACGGGGTGTGTCTTTCCATCCGAACACGCTTCCGACTTGGCTCTAGCTCGCTTTCTGCCTGGTCGAAACAATCTTTAGTGTCGTCGAAGTTTTCTACACAGACGGTGTTTACTATGTTATCAATATTGCAATACGCTGTCGATTGCATTCATTCTGGACTAGGATGTTGTTGCCTTGCTTCTAAAGATTTGTGATATGTCAATACTAAAATAAATATAAATTAAAGTTTAAAAGCTCCAAAAAAGGAGCTACTTTCGTTTGTGTTCACCACAACGCGTTTTTTTTCACTATACTAACAAACAGTATGTCTCCTTTTTTAAGATGGTGAACGCTTCCTGAATACGAGGTGTAAAGGCCATTCCTCCTCCCTTGGAAGCCGTTCGATGCCACGGATCGCATCAAGATACTCGTTGTGGCTTTGGATATTCGACAAACGAAAAATGCCAAGTAGCTCTGGTCGAACTTGTCCAGCTTTGAGTTGAATGGAACTTGAAAGTATAGCTGAGCATATACAAAGTAGTTGCCGCTTTTCTGTATTTTGATTAACTTGAGGTTGGCACCAGGCGAAGTCATTTCAGAACTTGCCTGGCCCAACCTACCCGTTTTCAAATATCCAGTACTTCTAAAATAGAAAAAAAACCTTTTAGAATCCGTGTTTTTACTAAACATTTGACGGCACAGCATGGAATACTTACCATCATTTAATTTTCCCCGGTCGCTGTGGTACCCGGTTAAGTGCACCAGTGCAGGCCGTGACTCATTCACCTGTAAATCAGAGGCAATTACGCAGTTAGATTTGAAATAGGAAAAAAGCAATTTTACAAGACATTATAGCAGACTGCACTTTCTGTTGTACGCGAACTTACTTTCATACGGCGTTCTAGTTCCCCTTTTAAATTGCTTCGTAGCTCCACAAAGGCTGTGATTACCAAGGCAGTGGGAAGTATGTGCAAAGCGCGTTATTATTTAAGCGTAAAATATGAGCAAGCAACCCATTAATGTGCCCTGCTACAGCACCCGCTCCATCATTTACCTTTCGCTCCACATTCACAATAGACACTTGTTTGTAAGGCATCTAAGATTAACTTGTGTAATCAATACTTCTTCACTCGAAGCCCATTTGCGCTGTAAAAAAGAAAGGAGCTCTTCTTGAATATTCATTTCAGAATCAAAATGCAAAAATGGACATTTGTCTTTTGCGAGATGTGACTCCAGCTTCATCTGCATGCATACCACACCGAACGATATCAGTTCTTTACCTATAGAAAATATAATATTTATTTGCACTCTTTTAGATTACTGGACTATTATAAACTTTGTATGTAACCTTAAGATGCTGCGTAAATCTGCAAATATAGGCCTATACCTTGCCAACTTTATAGGTACTAACTTCCGACAAATGGCCTTCGTTGGAAACGTCTAGACATCTGGGAAAGATTGTTGTGCGATACGAATTATACATACCCCAAAAAGGTCTACATCCAGTTTGAAATTGAAATGTAGCGTTCGGTCGTTGCCACTGCCATCTACTTGATGCAATCGCATTTCCCGAATACCCCATACCAACACAGAAACTAGGTTTACTTGTGCATCTAGGAGCCCATCAGGTAATTCACTAGTTCCAACAGTGTCGTAAGTAGCGCCAAACAGCACCACTTTCATTGCACAAATTTGGTTCTTTGTTGGAAGAATGGCGAAGTCTGTGGTTTCTTAAATTAAACAATAGATAAACGTTTTTTCACATTGTATTGTCCTGGCTTTATCAGTTTTATCCTTTATAAATATGGAACAAATTGTCTAAACCTATGTTAGTTTTCAAACACAGTAGTTCACGAAATTCAAAAGGTACTGCAATGTTTGTATAACATTTACATTATACAATACACCATATTATGCAAAATTTATTGCATGGCAATTACAGTGCATTATACACATTTGTGTATTTTTGATATGTACTTGCCCACATAGTCTTACAGACTATGTGTTTGTATGAAATATGAGAGAGGATATCAAATATCAACATACCCTAGGTGATCCAAGTTGGGTAAGGTTAAGTATAGGGTCTTCCATCTGAAAGCATCTGAAATTTTTGTTCTGATTCTCAAAGAAGATAGGCCCAATCTGGCATTCGAATGGATTTTAGGAGAATTGACTGGCTTTGTTTCGAAAGAGTCGTGTTGAATGCTTCTTTGGCCTCCAGTCTTGAGAAGATCACATCCGTTGCCCCAACCACAACAAATTGATGCCAAATTGCCGATAACTTCGTTGATGTTTTCCTGATAGGCATACGCAACAACATTCCGGGATTTCATGAATTGGCCACCTTTTGTTTTAATGCGACGCTTTTTTTCTTGTGGCGTTATTTCTTTAGATTTAATGAGAGCGCTTGTGGAGGCGCGCGGCGATGTAATTTTGGCGGGAGATTGAAACGGTATGGATTTTGTCTATTTTATTTAGACACTTTCGAGCGCGCACAGAGAAAAACAGTCTCCTGTTCCTCATCTTTTTCTTTCAGAAGACGGGGTGTGTCTTTCCATCCGAACACGCTTCCGACTTGGCTCTAGCTCGCTTTCTGCCTGGTCGAAACAATCTTTAGTGTCGTCGAAGTTTTCTACACAGACGGTGTTTACTATGTTATCAATATTGCAATACGCTGTCGATTGCATTCATTCTGGACTAGGATGTTGTTGCCTTGCTTCTAAAAGATTTGTGATATGTCAATACTAAAATAAATATAAAATTAAAGTTTAAAAGCTCCAAAAAAGGAGCTGTTTCGTTTGCGTTTACCACGACGCGTTGTTTTTAACTACACTAACAAACAGACATCTCCTCTTTAAGTTGGTGAACACTACCGGAATATGAGGTAACAGACCATCTCTTCCTTGGAAGCCGTTTGATGCCACGGCTCGCATCAAGATACTCGTTGTGGCTTTGGATATTCGACAAACGAAAAATGCCAAGTAGCTCTGGTCGAACTTGTCCAGCTTTGATTGAATGGAACTTGAAAGTATAGCTGAGCATAGACAAAGTAGTTGCCCTTCCTTTATTATGATTGAACTCAGGTTGGCACCAAGCGAAGTCATTTAGAACTTGCCGTTTCTAAATATCCAGCACTTCTAAATAAAAAAATCTTTTAGAATCCGTGTTTTTACAAACATTTGACGGCACAGCATGGAAACTTACCATCATTCAATTTTCCCCGGTCGCTGTGATGCCCGGTTAAGTGCACCAGTGCAGGCCGTGACTCATTCACCTGTAAATCAGAGGCAATTACGCAGTTAGATTTGAAATAGGAAAAAAGCAACTTACAAGACATTATAACAGACTGCACTTCTGTTTTACGCAACTTACTTGATACCGCGTTCTAGTTCCCCTTTAAATTGCTTCGTAGTCACAAAGGCTGTGATTACCAAGGCAGTGGAAGTAGTGCAAAGCGCGTTATATTTAAGCGTAAAATATGAGCAAGCAACCCATTAATGTGCCCTGCTACAGCACCGCTCAATCATTTACCTTTCGCTCCACATTCACAATAGACACTGTTTGGTAAGGCAGTAAGATTAACTTGTGTAATCAATACTTCTCACTCGAAGCCCATTTGCGCTGTAAAAAAGAAGGAGCTCTTCTGAATATTCATTTCAGAATCAAAATGCAAAAATGGACATTGTCTTTTGCGAGATGTGACTCCAGCTTCACTGCATGCATACCACACCGAACGATATCAGTTCTTACCTATAGAAAATATATATTGCACTCTTAGATTACTGGACATTATAAACTTTGTATGTAACCTTAAGATGCTGCGTAATCTGCAAATATAGGCCTATACCTTGCCAACTTTATAGGTACTAACTTCCGACAAATGGCCTTCGTTGGAAACGTCTAGACATCTGGGAAAGATTGTTGTGCGATACGAATTATACATACCCAAAAGGTCTACATCCAGTTTGAAATTGAAATGTAGCGTTCGTCGTTGCCACTGCCACTACTTGATGCAATCGCATTTCCCGAATACCCCATACCAACAGAACTAGGTTACTTGTGCATCTAGGAGCCCATCAGGTAATTCACTAGTTCCAACAGTGTCGTAAGTAGGCGCCAACAGCACCAACTTTCATTGCACAAATTTGGTTCTTTGTTGGAAGAATGGCGAAGTCTGTGGTTTTCTTAAATTAAACAATAGATAAACGTTTTTCACATTGTATTGTCCTGGCTTTATCAGTTTTATCCTTTATAAATATGGAACAATTGTCTAAACCTATGTTAGTTTTTCAAACACAGTAGTTCACGAAATTCAAAAGGTACTGCAATGTTTGTATAACATTTACATTATACAATACACCATATTATGCAAAATTTATTGCATGGCAATTACAGTGCATTATACACATTTGTGTATTTTGATATGTACTTGCCCACATAGTCTTACAGTACTATGTGTTTGTATGAAATATGAGAGAGGATATCAAATACAACATACCCTAGGTGATCCAAGTTGGGTAAGGTTAAGTATAGGGTCTTCCATCTGAAAGCATCTGAAATTTTTGTTCTGATTCTCAAAAGAAGATAGGCCCAATCTCGCATTCGAATGGATTTTAGGAGAATTGACTGGCTTTGTTTCGAAAGAGTCGTGTTGAATGCTTCTTTGGCCTCCAGTCTTGAGAAGATCACATCCGTTGCCCCAACCACAACAATTGATGCCAAATTGCCGATAACTTCGTTGATGTTTCCTGATAGGCATACGCAACAACATTCCGGGATTCATGAATTGGCCACCTTTTGTTTTAATGCGACGCTTTTTTTCTTGTGGCGTTATTTCTTTAGATTTAATGAGAGCGCTTGTGGAGGCGCGCGGCGATGTAATTTTGGCGGGAGATTGAAACGGTATGGATTTTCTATTTTATTTAGACACTTTCGAGCGCGCACAGAGAAAAACAGTCCCTGTTCCTCATCTTTTTCTTTCAGAAGACGGGGTGTGTCTTTCCATCCGAACACGCTTCCGACTTGGCTCTAGCTCGCTTTCTGCCTGGTCGAAACAATCTTTAGTGTCGTCGAAGTTTTCTACACAGACGGTGTTTACTATGTTATCAATATTGCAATACGCTGTCGATTGCATTCATTCTGGACTAGGATGTTGTTGCCTTGCTTCTAAGAGATTTGTGATATGTCAATACTAAAATAAATATAAATTAAAGTTTAAAAGCTCCAAAAAAGGAGCTGCTTTCGTTTGCGTTTACCACGACGCGTTGTTTTTTAACTACACTAACAAACAGTACATCTCCCTCTTTAAGTTGGTGAACACTACCGGAATATGAGGTATACAGACCATTCTTCCCTTGGAAGCCGTTGATGCCACGGCTCGCATCAAGATACTCGTTGTGGCTTTGGATATTCGACAAACGAAAAATGCCAAGTAGCTCTGGTCGAACTTGTCCAGCTTTGAGTTGAATGGAACTTGAAAGTATAGCTGAGCATAGACAAAGTAGTTGCCGCTTTCCTTTATGATTGAACTCAGGTTGGCACCAAGCGAAGTCATTTTAGAACTTGCCGTTTTCTAATATCCAGCACTTCTAAAATAAAAAATCCTTTTAGAATCCGTGTTTTACTAAACATTTGACGGCACAGCATGGAATACTTACCATCATTCAATTTCCCCGGTCGCTGTGATGCCCGGTTAAGTGCACCAGTGCAGGCCGTGACTCATTCACCTGTAAATCAGAGGCAATTACGCAGTTAGATTGAAATAGGAAAAAAGCAACCTTACAAGACATTATAACAGACTGCACTTTCTGTTTACGCGAACTTACTTTGATACCGCGTTCTAGTTCCCCTTTTAAATTGCTTCGTAGCTCCACAAAGGCTGTGATTACCAAGGCAGTGGGAAGTATGTGCAAAGCGCGTTATTATTTAAGCGTAAATATGAGCAAGCAACCCATTAATGTGCCCTGCTACAGCACCCGCTCCATCATTTACCTTTCGCTCCACATTCACAATAGACACTGTTTTAAGGCATCTAAGATTAACTTGTGTAATCAATACTCTTCACTCGAAGCCCATTTGCGCTGTAAAAAAGAAGGAGCTCTTCTTGAATATTCATTTCAGAATCAAAATGCAAAAATGGACATTTGTCTTTTGCGAGATGTGACTCCAGCTTCATCTGCATGCATACCACACCGAACGATATCAGTTCTTTACCTATAGAAAATATAATATTTATTTGCACTCTTTTAGATTACTGGACTATTATAAACTTTGTATGTAACCTTAAGATGCTGCGTAAATCTGCAAATATAGGCCTATACCTTGCCAACTTTATAGGTACTAACTTCCGACAAATGGCCTTCGTTGGAAACGTCTAGACATCTGGGAAAGATTGTTGTGCGATACGAATTATACATACCCCAAAAGGTCTACATCCAGTTTGAAATTGAAATGTAGCGTTCGGTCGTTGCCACTGCCATCTACTTGATGCAATCGCATTTCCCGAATACCCCATACCAACACAGAAACTAGGTTTACTTGTGCATCTAGGAGCCCATCAGGTAATTCACTAGTTCCAACAGTGTCGTAAGTAGCGCCAAACAGCACCACTTTCATTGCACAAATTTGGTTCTTTGTTGGAAGAATGGCGAAGTCTGTGGTTTCTTAAATTAAACAATAGATAAACGTTTTTTCACATTGTATTGTCCTGGCTTTATCAGTTTATCCTTTATAAATATGGAACAAATTGTCTAAACCTATGTTAGTTTTCAAACACAGTAGTTCACGAAATTCAAAAGGTACTGCAATGTTTGTATAACATTTACATTATACAATACACCATATTATGCAAAATTTATTGCATGGCAATTACAGTGCATTATACACATTTGTGTATTTTGATATGTACTTGCCCACATAGTCTTACAGTACTATGTGTTTGTATGAAATATGAGAGAGGATATCAAATATCAACATACCCTAGGTGATCCAAGTTGGGTAAGGTTAAGTATAGGGTCTTCCATCTGAAAGCATCTGAAATTTTTGTTCTGATTCTCAAAAGAAGATAGGCCCAATCTCGCATTCGAATGGATTTTAGGAGAATTGACTGGCTTTGTTTCGAAAGAGTCGTGTTGAATGCTTCTTTGGCCTCCAGTCTTGAGAAGATCACATCCGTTGCCCCAACCACAACAAATTGATGCCAAATTGCCGATAACTTCGTTGATGTTTTCCTGATAGGCATACGCAACAACATTCCGGGATTTCATGAATTGGCCACCTTTTGTTTTAATGCGACGCTTTTTTTCTTGTGGCGTTATTTCTTTAGATTTAATGAGAGCGCTTGTGGAGGCGCGCGGCGATGTAATTTTGGCGGGAGATTGAAACGGTATGGATTTTGTCTATTTTATTTAGACACTTTCGAGCGCGCACAGAGAAAAACAGTCTCCTGTTCCTCATCTTTTTCTTTCAGAAGACGGGGTGTGTCTTTCCATCCGAACACGCTTCCGACTTGGCTCTAGCTCGCTTTCTGCCTGGTCGAAACAATCTTTAGTGTCGTCGAAGTTTTCTACACAGACGGTGTTTACTATGTTATCAATATTGCAATACGCTGTCGATTGCATTCATTCTGGACTAGGATGTTGTTGCCTTGCTTCTAAGAGATTTGTGATATGTCAATACTAAAAAAATAAAAATTAAAGTTTAAAAGCTCCAAAAAAGGAGCTGCTTTCGTTTGCGTTTACCACGACGCGTTGTTTTTTAACTACACTAACAAACAGTACATCTCCCTCTTTAAGTTGGTGAACACTACCGGAATATGAGGTATACAGACCATTCTTCTTCCCTTGGAAGCCGTTTGATGCCACGGCTCGCATCAAGATACTCGTTGTGGCTTTGGATATTCGACAAACGAAAAATGCCAAGTAGCTCTGGTCGAACTTGTCCAGCTTTGAGTTGAATGGAACTTGAAAGTATAGCTGAGCATAGACAAAGTAGTTGCCGCTTTCCTTTATATGATGAACTCAGGTTGGCACCAAGCGAAGTCATTTTAGAACTTGCCGTTTTCTAAATATCCAGCACTTCTAAAATAAAAAAATCCTTTTAGAATCCGTGTTTTTACTAAACATTTGACGGCACAGCATGGAATACTTACCATCATTCAATTTTCCCCGGTCGCTGTGATGCCCGGTTAAGTGCACCAGTGCAGGCCGTGACTCATTCACCTGTAAATCAGAGGCAATTACGCAGTTAGATTTGAAATAGGAAAAAGCAACTTACAAGACATTATAACAGACTGCACTTTCTGTTTTACGCGAACTTACTTTGATACCGCGTTCTAGTTCCCCTTTTAAATTGCTTCGTAGCTCCACAAAGGCTGTGATTACCAAGGCAGTGGGAAGTATGTGCAAAGCGCGTTATTATTTAAGCGTAAAATATGAGCAAGCAACCCATTAATGTGCCCTGCTACAGCACCCGCTCCATCATTTACCTTTCGCTCCACATTCACAATAGACACTTGTTTGTAAGGCATCTAAGATTAACTTGTGTAATCAATACTTCTTCACTCGAAGCCCATTTGCGCTGTAAAAAAGAAAGGAGCTCTTCTTGAATATTCATTTCAGAATCAAAATGCAAAAATGGACATTTGTCTTTTGCGAGATGTGACTCCAGCTTCATCTGCATGCATACCACACCGAACGATATCAGTTCTTTACCTATAGAAAATATAATATTTATTTGCACTCTTTTAGATTACTGGACTATTATAAACTTTGTATGTAACCTTAAGATGCTGCGTAAATCTGCAAATATAGGCCTATACCTTGCCAACTTTATAGGTACTAACTTCCGACAAATGGCCTTCGTTGGAAACGTCTAGACATCTGGGAAAGATTGTTGTGCGATACGAATTATACATACCCCAAAAAGGTCTACATCCAGTTTGAAATTGAAATGTAGCGTTCGGTCGTTGCCACTGCCATCTACTTGATGCAATCGCATTTCCCGAATACCCCATACCAACACAGAAACTAGGTTTACTTGTGCATCTAGGAGCCCATCAGGTAATTCACTAGTTCCAACAGTGTCGTAAGTAGCGCCAAACAGCACCACTTTCATTGCACAAATTTGGTTCTTTGTTGGAAGAATGGCGAAGTCTGTGGTTTTCTTAAATTAAACAATAGATAAACGTTTTTTCACATTGTATTGTCCTGGCTTTATCAGTTTTATCCTTTATAAATATGGAACAAATTGTCTAAACCTATGTTAGTTTTCAAACACAGTAGTTCACGAAATTCAAAAGGTACTGCAATGTTTGTATAACATTTACATTATACAATACACCATATTATGCAAAATTTATTGCATGGCAATTACAGTGCATTATACACATTTGTGTATTTTTGATATGTACTTGCCCACATAGTCTTACAGTACTATGTGTTTGTATGAAATATGAGAGAGGATATCAAATATCAACATACCCTAGGTGATCCAAGTTGGGTAAGGTTAAGTATAGGGTCTTCCATCTGAAAGCATCTGAAATTTTTGTTCTGATTCTCAAAAGAAGATAGGCCCAATCTGGCATTCGAATGGATTTTAGGAGAATTGACTGGCTTTGTTTCGAAAGAGTCGTGTTGAATGCTTCTTTGGCCTCCAGTCTTGAGAAGATCACATCCGTTGCCCCAACCACAACAAATTGATGCCAAATTGCCGATAACTTCGTTGATGTTTTCCTGATAGGCATACGCAACAACATTCCGGGATTTCATGAATTGGCCACCTTTTGTTTTAATGCGACGCTTTTTTTCTTGTGGCGTTATTTCTTTAGATTTAATGAGAGCGCTTGTGGAGGCGCGCGGCGATGTAATTTTGGCGGGAGATTGAAACGGTATGGATTTTGTCTATTTTATTTAGACACTTTCGAGCGCGCACAGAGAAAAACAGTCTCCTGTTCCTCATCTTTTTCTTTCAGAAGACGGGGTGTGTCTTTCCATCCGAACACGCTTCCGACTTGGCTCTAGCTCGCTTTCTGCCTGGTCGAAACAATCTTTAGTGTCGTCGAAGTTTTCTACACAGACGGTGTTTACTATGTTATCAATATTGCAATACGCTGTCGATTGCATTCATTCTGGACTAGGATGTTGTTGCCTTGCTTCTAAAGATTTGTGATATGTCAATACTAAAATAAATATAAAATTAAAGTTTAAAAGCTCCAAAAAAGGAGCTGCTTTCGTTTGCGTTTACCACGACGCGTTGTTTTTTAACTACACTAACAAACAGTACATCTCCCTCTTTAAGTTGGTGAACACTACCGGAATATGAGGTATACAGACCATTCTTCTTCCCTTGGAAGCCGTTTGATGCCACGGCTCGCATCAAGATACTCGTTGTGGCTTTGGATATTCGACAAACGAAAAATGCCAAGTAGCTCTGGTCGAACTTGTCCAGCTTTGAGTTGAATGGAACTTGAAAGTATAGCTGAGCATAGACAAAGTAGTTGCCGCTTTCCTTTATTATGATTGAACTCAGGTTGGCACCAAGCGAAGTCATTTTAGAACTTGCCGTTTTCAAATATCCAGCACTTCTAAAATAAAAAATCCTTTTAGAATCCGTGTTTTTACTAAACATTTGACGGCACAGCATGGAATACTTACCATCATTCAATTTTCCCCGGTCGCTGTGATGCCCGGTTAAGTGCACCAGTGCAGGCCGTGACTCATTCACCTGTAAATCAGAGGCAATTACGCAGTTAGATTTGAAATAGGAAAAAAGCAATCTTACAAGACATTATAACAGACTGCACTTTCTGTTTTACGCGAACTTACTTTGATACCGCGTTCTAGTTCCCCTTTTAAATTGCTTCGTAGCTCCACAAAGGCTGTGATTACCAAGGCAGTGGGAATTAGGTTCCAGGCCAGAAGAATCATTACTATTTTAAACGTGCATGAAGTTGCTCTCTCCCCGTCTGTAGTGTGCTCTCTTGTGCATGCCATTGCGAGAATGTAGAGCTGGTCTGCTACAAAGTCGAATTTATACAAAGCGGCATCAAAGAAACAGCTACAAATATCACGCTGCGCTAGTTCTATCGCGAAGAATTTAACAGCGGCCAGGTGCACAGGAAACAGGTGTTTCGTTGAATATTCTGGCGTTAACTGCGTCATGGCAGTGTCGCATGCAGCTGTGCACCATTTCCTGCTTTTTCTCAATTTTATTCCTTTATAGAAAAGTGTTTTTTCCTTAGGATTACTAGTAAATGGAGTATTTTCTAGTTTTCGCGCAGTGCGCGACACAGTAATAATCATCTCGAATCTTAACTTGAATCCCAACTCGGTTCACTAAGGGCAGATTGCCAGACCCGACAGTCCCGACTGGGAGGGATCCTAGTGGCTGGTTTGTGAAAGAGGCCTTATAAGTCGAACATGGCAAATTTTCGAATACTGACTAATAGACCATTGAATGAATTGAAGTTAACGGCAACCAGGTATATATTCATTCATCGCAATTATCGCTACCCTGGTTTTAATTAAATAAAAAGTAATCACCGCACAAAGATATGATAACTTTTATTCAATTAAGACCAGAGTGGTGATAATTGCGATGAAAGACCATTGAATATTTTCTAGAGCTGCATATTTGCATGCGTTCTATATTATTCAATATTACACATCAAAGCGCCTAATCCTTAAATATATTGAACAAGGATACAAACGAAACCGGTTGCAGTGGTTTAGTTCACATATTATAGGAAGTATTGAACAAACTCATTCAAATGCTCTTCCATGCAGAATTTTATTTTGAAATAAACGCAGACTGGGGGAAAGTGCAGTGGCGTAGCCAGCCCGACAATTTAGTCATGCTATGCTAATATTTTGGTTTTCATTGACTATGAAAACAATGAATTTTCAAAGAAATGAATAATGATAATAACATAAAATTTGCATAGCATGACTAAATCGTCAGGCTGGCTACGCCACTGGGAAAGTGTAGCAAATGTCCGTCGTTTTAATATACAATAAGTTTGATATGGGACCACTGCCTATAATTCATTTCTTAATAAACGTTCTTAAACGATTTGAGGGCAAAAGTTAACTGTTGAGTAACTTCGTAAAAACAAGGTATATAACATATTAACAATTAACTTGTTTATCAAGTTTCACAGCGAGTTCATTCAACTTGCATATCAGTCAGTCTGTTATACAGACGTTTGTAGAAAATTTGGACAACGTTGTGATTGAAAATGTAGCAATGACGCATATTTATGTGCAAAGCTAAGAGAAATGAATTGCCGGAGAATTTTATGAATTTATTTTAAATAAAAAACATATAGGTATAATTATATGTATAGTATTGGAAGTGAGTTCAGGGGCCGGTTGTATCAAGCCCGTTAGCTTAACGGTGGATAAATCAAAATAGAAAGCAAGTCTATCGTTTTATTCAACAAGCAAACTAAATGTTTTTAAGCTTAATACAAAGATACTGTCTACAACTACATATTCAGTGCATAATATTAAAGTTGACTCATTCAACAGAGTTGTAAGAGTGTTATTTAATTTTGACTTATCCAGCGTTTAAGCTAAACGGGCTTGATACAACTGGCCCAGCACATTAGCACAATAGTCAACAGACATTTTAATTAAACCGGCGATTCTTTTTAAAGACTGAAAACATGTTTCGCAAAGTGGCATCACTATAATGTAGCTAAGTGCTATTGTAAATAATTTCCGCTTTCATGGCTTCGACATTTCATGTTTGTATCATATGTGTATAACACGTGCCAGCAAAGACCTTGCATTTATATCTAAATTGCACACATCGCACTTACACATCGTACTGAAGATGACAGTTTGCCGAAACATGTTTGCTTCTAAAAGATTTGTGATATGTCAATACTAAAATAAATATAAAATTCAAGTTTAAAAGCTCCAAAAAAGGAGCTGCTTTCGTTTGTGTTTACCACGACGCGTTGTTTTTTAACTACACTAACAAACAGTACATCTCCCTCTTTAAGTTGGTGAACACTACCGGAATATGAGGTATACAGACCATTCTTCTTCCCTTGGAAGCCGTTTGATGCCACGGCTCGCATCAAGATACTCGTTGTGGCTTTGGATATTCGACAAACGAAAAATGCCAAGTAGCTCTGGTCGAACTTGTCCAGCTTTGAGTTGAATGGAACTTGAAAGTATAGCTGAGCATAGACAAAGTAGTTGCCGCTTTCCTTTATTATGATTGAACTCAGGTTGGCACCAAGCGAAGTCATTTTAGAACTTGCCGTTTTCTAAATATCCAGCACTTCTAAAATAAAAAAATCCTTTTAGAATCCGTATTTTTACTAAACATTTGACGGCACAGCATGGAATACTTACCATCATTCAATTTTCCCCGGTCGCTGTGATGCCCGGTTAAGTGCACCAGTGCAGGCCGTGACTCATTCACCTGTAAATCAGAGGCAATTACGCAGTTAGATTTGAAATAGGAAAAAAGCAATCTTACAAGACATTATAACAGACTGCACTTTCTGTTTTACGCGAACTTACTTTGATACCGCGTTCTAGTTCCCCTTTTAAATTGCTTCGTAGCTCCACAAAGGCTGTGATTACCAAGGCAGTGGGAAGTATGTGCAAAGCGCGTTATTATTTAAGCGTAAAATATGAGCAAGCAACCCATTAATGTGCCCTGCTACAGCACCCGCTCCATCATTTACCTTTCGCTCCACATTCACAATAGACACTTGTTTGTAAGGCATCTAAGATTAACTTGTGTAATCAATACTTCTTCACTCGAAGCCCATTTGCGCTGTAAAAAAGAAAGGAGCTCTTCTTGAATATTCATTTCAGAATCAAAATGCAAAAATGGACATTTGTCTTTTGCGAGATGTGACTCCAGCTTCATCTGCATGCATACCACACCGAACGATATCAGTTCTTTACCTATAGAAAATATAATATTTATTTGCACTCTTTTAGATTACTGGACTATTATAAACTTTGTATGTAACCTTAAGATGCTGCGTAAATCTGCAAATATAGGCCTATACCTTGCCAACTTTATAGGTACTAACTTCCGACAAATGGCCTTCGTTGGAAACGTCTAGACATCTGGGAAAGATTGTTGTGCGATACGAATTATACATACCCCAAAAAGGTCTACATCCAGTTTGAAATTGAAATGTAGCGTTCGGTCGTTGCCACTGCCATCTACTTGATGCAATCGCATTTCCCGAATACCCCATACCAACACAGAAACTAGGTTTACTTGTGCATCTAGGAGCCCATCAGGTAATTCACTAGTTCCAACAGTGTCGTAAGTAGCGCCAAACAGCACCACTTTCATTGCACAAATTTGGTTCTTTGTTGGAAGAATGGCGAAGTCTGTGGTTTTCTTAAATTAAACAATAGATAAACGTTTTTTCACATTGTATTGTCCTGGCTTTATCAGTTTTATCCTTTATAAATATGGAACAAATTGTCTAAACCTATGTTAGTTTTCAAACACAGTAGTTCACGAAATTCAAAAGGTACTGCAATGTTTGTATAACATTTACATTATACAATACACCATATTATGCAAAATTTATTGCATGGCAATTACAGTGCATTATACACATTTGTGTATTTTTGATATGTACTTGCCCACATAGTCTTACAGTACTATGTGTTTGTATGAAATATGAGAGAGGATATCAAATATCAACATACCCTAGGTGATCCAAGTTGGGTAAGGTTAAGTATAGGGTCTTCCATCTGAAAGCATCTGAAATTTTTGTTCTGATTCTCAAAAGAAGATAGGCCCAATCTGGCATTCGAATGGATTTTAGGAGAATTGACTGGCTTTGTTTCGAAAGAGTCGTGTTGAATGCTTCTTTGGCCTCCAGTCTTGAGAAGATCACATCCGTTGCCCCAACCACAACAAATTGATGCCAAATTGCCGATAACTTCGTTGATGTTTTCCTGATAGGCATACGCAACAACATTCCGGGATTTCATGAATTGGCCACCTTTTGTTTTAATGCGACGCTTTTTTTCTTGTGGCGTTATTTCTTTAGATTTAATGAGAGCGCTTGTGGAGGCGCGCGGCGATGTAATTTTGGCGGGAGATTGAAACGGTATGGATTTTGTCTATTTTATTTAGACACTTTCGAGCGCGCACAGAGAAAAACAGTCTCCTGTTCCTCATCTTTTTCTTTCAGAAGACGGGGTGTGTCTTTCCATCCGAACACGCTTCCGACTTGGCTCTAGCTCGCTTTCTGCCTGGTCGAAACAATCTTTAGTGTCGTCGAAGTTTTCTACACAGACGGTGTTTACTATGTTATCAATATTGCAATACGCTGTCGATTGCATTCATTCTGGACTAGGATGTTGTTGCCTTGCTTCTAAAAGATTTGTGATATGTCAATACTAAAATAAATATAAAATTAAAGTTTAAAAGCTCCAAAAAAGGAGCTGCTTTCGTTTGCGTTTACCACGACGCGTTGTTTTTTAACTACACTAACAAACAGTACATCTCCCTCTTTAAGTTGGTGAACACTACCGGAATATGAGGTATACAGACCATTCTTCTTCCCTTGGAAGCCGTTTGATGCCACGGCTCGCATCAAGATACTCGTTGTGGCTTTGGATATTCGACAAACGAAAAATGCCAAGTAGCTCTGGTCGAACTTGTCCAGCTTTGAGTTGAATGGAACTTGAAAGTATAGCTGAGCATAGACAAAGTAGTTGCCGCTTTCCTTTATTATGATTGAACTCAGGTTGGCACCAAGCGAAGTCATTTTAGAACTTGCCGTTTTCCAAATATCCAGCACTTCTAAAATAAAAAAATCCTTTTAGAATCCGTGTTTTTACTAAACATTTGACGGCACAGCATGGAATACTTACCATCATTCAATTTTCCCCGGTCGCTGTGATGCCCGGTTAAGTGCACCAGTGCAGGCCGTGACTCATTCACCTGTAAATCAGAGGCAATTACGCAGTTAGATTTGAAATAGGAAAAAAGCAATCTTACAAGACATTATAACAGACTGCACTTTCTGTTTTACGCGAACTTACTTTGATACCGCGTTCTAGTTCCCCTTTTAAATTGCTTCGTAGCTCCACAAAGGCTGTGATTACCAAGGCAGTGGGAATTAGGTTCCAGGCCAGAAGAATCATTACTATTTTAAACGTGCATGAAGTTGCTCTCTCCCCGTCTGTAGTGTGCTCTCTTGTGCATGCCATTGCGAGAATGTAGAGCTGGTCTGCTACAAAGTCGAATTTATACAAAGCGGCATCAAAGAAACAGCTACAAATATCACGCTGCGCTAGTTCTATCGCGAAGAATTTAACAGCGGCCAGGTGCACAGGAAACAGGTGTTTCGTTGAATATTCTGGCGTTAACTGCGTCATGGCAGTGTCGCATGCAGCTGTGCACCATTTCCTGCTTTTTCTCAATTTTTATTCCTTTATAGAAAAGTGTTTTTTCCTTAGGATTACTAGTAAATGGAGTATTTTCTAGTTTTCGCGCAGTGCGCGACACAGTAATAATCATCTCGAATCTTAACTTGAATCCCAACTCGGTTCACTAAGGGCAGATTGCCAGACCCGACAGTCCCGACTGGGAGGGATCCTAGTGGCTGGTTTGTGAAAAGAGGCCTTATAAGTCGAACATGGCAAATTTTCGAATACTGACTAATAGACCATTGAATGAATTGAAGTTAACGGCAACCAGGTATATATTCATTCATCGCAATTATCGCTACCCTGGTTTTAATTAAATAAAAGTAATCACCGCACAAAGATATGATAACTTTTATTCAATTAAGACCAGAGTGGTGATAATTGCGATGAAAGACCATTGAATATTTTCTAGAGCTGCATATTTGCATGCGTTCTATTATATTATTCAATATACACATCAAAGCGCCTAATCCTTAATAATTTGAACATAGGATACAAACGAAACCGGTTGCAGTGGTTTAGTTCACATATTATAGGAAGTATTGAACACAACTCATTCAAAGCTCTTCCATGCAGAATTTTATTTTGAAATAAACGCAGACTGGGGAAAGTGCAGTGGCGTAGCCAGCCCGACAATTAGTCATGCTATGCTAATATTTTGGTTTTCATTGACTATGAAAACAATGAATTTTCAAAGAAATGAATAATGATAATAACATAAAATTTGCATAGCATGACTAAATCGTCAGGCTGGCTACGCCACTGGGAAAGTGTAGCAAATGTCCGTCGTTTTAATATACAATAAGTTTGATATGGGACCACTGCCTATAATTCATTTCTTAATAAACGTTCTTAAACGATTTGAGGGCAAAAGTTAACTGTTGAGTAACTTCGTAAAAACAAGGTAATAACATATTAACAATTAACTTGTTTTATCAAGTTTCACAGCGAGTTCATTCAACTTGCATATCAGTCAGTCTGTTATACAGACGTTGTAGAAAATTTGGACAACGTTTGTGATTGAAAACTGTAGCAATGACGCATATTTATGTGCAAAGCTAAGAGAATGAATTGCCGGAGAATTTTATGAATTTATTTAAATAAAAATAACATTATAGGTATAATTATATGTATAGTATTGGAAGTGAGTTCAGGGGCCGGTTGTATCAAGCCCGTTTAGCTTAAACGGTGGATAAATTCAAAATAGAAAGCAAGTCTATCGTTTTATTCAACAAGCAAACTAAATGTTTTTAAGCTTAATACAAAGATACTGTCTACAACTACATATTCAGTGCATAATATTAAAGTTGACTCATTCAACAGAGTTGTAAGAGTGTTATTTAATTTTGACTTATCCAGCGTTTAAGCTAAACGGGCTTGATACAACTGGCCCCAGCACATTAGCACAATAGTCAACAGACATTTTAATTAAACCGGCGATTCTTTTTAAAGACTGAAACATGTTTCGCAAAGTGGCATCACTATAATGTAGCTAAGTGCTATTGTAAATAATTTCCGGCTTTCATGGCTTCGACATTTCATGTTTGTATCATATGTGTATAACACGTGCCAGCAAAGACCTTGCATTTATATCTAAATTGCACACATCGCACTTACACATCGTACTGAAGATGACAGTTTGCCGAAACATGTTTGCTTCTAAAGATTTGTGATATGTCAATACTAAAATAAATATAAAATTCAAGTTTAAAAGCTCCAAAAAAGGAGCTGCTTTCGTTTGTGTTTACACGACGCGTTTGTTTTTAACTACACTAAAAACAGTACATCTCCTCTTTAAGTTGGTGAACACTACCGGAATATGAGGTATAACCAGCATTTTCTTGCCTTGGAAGCCGTTTGATGCCACGCTCGCATCAAGATACTCGTTGTGGCTTTGGATATTCGACAAACGAAAAATGCCAAGTAGCTCTGGTCGAACTTGTCCAGCTTTGAGTTGAATGGAACTTGAAAGTATAGCTGAGCATAGACAAAGTAGTTGCCGCTTTCCTTTATTATGATTGAACTCAGGTTGGCACCAAGCGAAGTCATTTTAGAACTTGCCGTTTTCAAATATCCAGCACTTCTAAAATAAAAAAATCCTTTTAGAATCCGTGTTTTTACTAAACATTTGACGGCACAGCATGGAATACTTACCATCATTCAATTTTCCCCGGTCGCTGTGATGCCCGGTTAAGTGCACCAGTGCAGGCCGTGACTCATTCACCTGTAAATCAGAGGCAATTACGCAGTTAGATTTGAAATAGGAAAAAAGCAATCTACAAGACATTATAACAGACTGCACTTTCTGTTTTACGCGAACTTACTTTGATACCGCGTTCTAGTTCCCCTTTTAAATTGCTTCGTAGCTCCACAAAGGCTGTGATTACCAAGGCAGTGGGAAGTATGTGCAAAGCGCGTTATTATTTAAGCGTAAAATATGAGCAAGCAACCCATTAATGTGCCCTGCTACAGCACCCGCTCCATCATTTACCTTTCGCTCCACATTCACAATAGACACTTGTTTGTAAGGCATCTAAGATTAACTTGTGTAATCAATACTTCTTCACTCGAAGCCCATTTGCGCTGTAAAAAAGAAAGGAGCTCTTCTTGAATATTCATTTCAGAATCAAAATGCAAAAATGGACATTTGTCTTTTGCGAGATGTGACTCCAGCTTCATCTGCATGCATACCACACCGAACGATATCAGTTCTTTACCTATAGAAAATATTATTTATTTGCACTCTTTTAGATTACTGGACTATTATAAACTTTGTATGTAACCTTAAGATGCTGCGTAAATCTGCAAATATAGGCCTATACCTTGCCAACTTTATAGGTACTAACTTCCGACAAATGGCCTTCGTTGGAAACGTCTAGACATCTGGGAAAGATTGTTGTGCGATACGAATTATACATACCCCAAAAAGGTCTACATCCAGTTTGAAATTGAAATGTAGCGTTCGGTCGTTGCCACTGCCATCTACTTGATGCAATCGCATTTCCCGAATACCCCATACCAACACAGAAACTAGGTTTACTTGTGCATCTAGGAGCCCATCAGGTAATTCACTAGTTCCAACAGTGTCGTAAGTAGCGCCAAACAGCACCACTTTCATTGCACAAATTTGGTTCTTTGTTGGAAGAATGGCGAAGTCTGTGGTTTTCTTAAATTAAACAATAGATAAACGTTTTTTCACATTGTATTGTCCTGGCTTTATCAGTTTTATCCTTTATTATGGAACAAATTGTCTAAACCTATGTTAGTTTTCAAACACAGTAGTTCACGAAATTCAAAAGGTACTGCAATGTTTGTATAACATTTACATTATACAATACACCATATTATGCAAAATTTATTGCATGGCAATTACAGTGCATTATACACATTTGTGTATTTTTGATATGTACTTGCCCACATAGTCTTACAGTACTATGTGTTTGTATGAAATATGAGAGAGGATATCAAATATCAACATACCCTAGGTGATCCAAGTTGGGTAAGGTTAAGTATAGGGTCTTCCATCTGAAAGCATCTGAAATTTTTGTTCTGATTCTCAAAAGAAGATAGGCCCAATCTGGCATTCGAATGGATTTTAGGAGAATTGACTGGCTTTGTTTCGAAAGAGTCGTGTTGAATGCTTCTTTGGCCTCCAGTCTTGAGAAGATCACATCCGTTGCCCCAACCACAACAAATTGATGCCAAATTGCCGATAACTTCGTTGATGTTTTCCTGATAGGCATACGCAACAACATTCCGGGATTTCATGAATTGGCCACCTTTTGTTTTAATGCGACGCTTTTTTTCTTGTGGCGTTATTTCTTTAGATTTAATGAGAGCGCTTGTGGAGGCGCGCGGCGATGTAATTTGGCGGGAGATTGAAACGGTATGGATTTTGTCTATTTTATTTAGACACTTTCGAGCGCGCACAGAGAAAAACAGTCTCCTGTTCCTCATCTTTTTCTTTCAGAAGACGGGGTGTGTCTTTCCATCCGAACACGCTTCCGACTTGGCTCTAGCTCGCTTTCTGCCTGGTCGAAACAATCTTTAGTGTCGTCGAAGTTTTCTACACAGACGGTGTTTATGTTATCAATATTGCAATACGCTGTCGATTGCATTCATTCTGGACTAGGATGTTGTTGCCTTGCTTCTAAAAGATTTGTGATATGTCAATACTAAAATAAATATAAAATTAAAGTTTAAAAGCTCCAAAAAAGGAGCTGCTTTCGTTTGCGTTTACCACGACGCGTTGTTTTTTAACTACACTAACAAACAGTACATCTCCCTCTTTAAGTTGGTGAACACTACCGGAATATGAGGTATACAGACCATTCTTCTTCCCTTGGAAGCCGTTTGATGCCACGGCTCGCATCAAGATACTCGTTGTGGCTTTGGATATTCGACAAACGAAAAATGCCAAGTAGCTCTGGTCGAACTTGTCCAGCTTTGAGTTGAATGGAACTTGAAAGTATAGCTGAGCATAGACAAAGTAGTTGCCGCTTTCCTTTATTATGATTGAACTCAGGTTGGCACCAAGCGAAGTCATTTTAGAACTTGCCGTTTTCCAAATATCCAGCACTTCTAAAATAAAAAAATCCTTTTAGAATCCGTGTTTTTACTAAACATTTGACGGCACAGCATGGAATACTTACCATCATTCAATTTTCCCCGGTCGCTGTGATGCCCGGTTAAGTGCACCAGTGCAGGCCGTGACTCATTCACCTGTAAATCAGAGGCAATTACGCAGTTAGATTTGAAATAGGAAAAAAGCAATCTTACAAGACATTATAACAGACTGCACTTTCTGTTTTACGCGAACTTACTTTGATACCGCGTTCTAGTTCCCCTTTTAAATTGCTTCGTAGCTCCACAAAGGCTGTGATTACCAAGGCAGTGGGAATTAGGTTCCAGGCCAGAAGAATCATTACTATTTTAAACGTGCATGAAGTTGCTCTCTCCCCGTCTGTAGTGTGCTCTCTTGTGCATGCCATTGCGAGAATGTAGAGCTGGTCTGCTACAAAGTCGAATTTATACAAAGCGGCATCAAAGAAACAGCTACAAATATCACGCTGCGCTAGTTCTATCGCGAAGAATTTAACAGCGGCCAGGTGCACAGGAAACAGGTGTTTCGTTGAATATTCTGGCGTTAACTGCGTCATGGCAGTGTCGCATGCAGCTGTGCACCATTTCCTGCTTTTTCTCAATTTTTATTCCTTTATAGAAAAGTGTTTTTTCCTTAGGATTACTAGTAAATGGAGTATTTTCTAGTTTTCGCGCAGTGCGCGACACAGTAATAATCATCTCGAATCTTAACTTGAATCCCAACTCGGTTCACTAAGGGCAGATTGCCAGACCCGACAGTCCCGACTGGGAGGGATCCTAGTGGCTGGTTTGTGAAAAGAGGCCTTATAAGTCGAACATGGCAAATTTTCGAATACTGACTAATAGACCATTGAATGAATTGAAGTTAACGGCAACCAGGTATATATTCATTCATCGCAATTATCGCTACCCTGGTTTTAATTAAATAAAAGTAATCACCGCACAAAGATATGATAACTTTTATTCAATTAAGACCAGAGTGGTGATAATTGCGATGAAAGACCATTGAATATTTTCTAGAGCTGCATATTTGCATGCGTTCTATATATTATTCAATATTACACATCAAAGCGCCTAATCCTTAAAATATTGAACAAGGATACAAACGAAACCGGTTGCAGTGGTTTAGTTCACATATTATAGGAAGTATTGAACAAACTCATTCAAATGCTCTTCCATGCAGAATTTTATTTTGAAATAAACGCAGACTGGGGGAAAGTGCAGTGGCGTAGCCAGCCCGACAATTTAGTCATGCTATGCTAATATTTTGGTTTTCATTGACTATGAAAACAATGAATTTTCAAAGAAATGAATAATGATAATAACATAAAATTTGCATAGCATGACTAAATCGTCAGGCTGGCTACGCCACTGGGAAAGTGTAGCAAATGTCCGTCGTTTTAATATACAATAAGTTTGATATGGGACCACTGCCTATAATTCATTTCTTAATAAACGTTCTTAAACGATTTGAGGGCAAAAGTTAACTGTTGAGTAACTTCGTAAAAAACAAGGTATATAACATATTAACAATTAACTTGTTTTATCAAGTTTCACAGCGAGTTCATTCAACTTGCATATCAGTCAGTCTGTTATACAGACGTTTGTAGAAAATTTGGACAACGTTTGTGATTGAAAACTGTAGCAATGACGCATATTTATGTGCAAAGCTAAGAGAAATGAATTGCCGGAGAATTTTATGAATTTATTTTAAATAAAAATAACATTATAGGTATAATTATATGTATAGTATTGGAAGTGAGTTCAGGGGCCGGTTGTATCAAGCCCGTTTAGCTTAAACGGTGGATAAATTCAAAATAGAAAGCAAGTCTATCGTTTTATTCAACAAGCAAACTAAATGTTTTTAAGCTTAATACAAAGATACTGTCTACAACTACATATTCAGTGCATAATATTAAAGTTGACTCATTCAACAGAGTTGTAAGAGTGTTATTTAATTTTGACTTATCCAGCGTTTAAGCTAAACGGGCTTGATACAACTGGCCCCAGCACATTAGCACAATAGTCAACAGACATTTTAATTAAACCGGCGATTCTTTTTAAAGACTGAAAACATGTTTCGCAAAGTGGCATCACTATAATGTAGCTAAGTGCTATTGTAAATAATTTCCGCTTTCATGGCTTCGACATTTCATGTTTGTATCATATGTGTATAACACGTGCCAGCAAAGACCTTGCATTTATATCTAAATTGCACACATCGCACTTACACATCGTACTGAAGATGACAGTTTGCCGAAACATGTTTGCTTCTAAAAGATTTGTGATATGTCAATACTAAAATAAATATAAAATTCAAGTTTAAAAGCTCCAAAAAAGGAGCTGCTTTCGTTTGTGTTTACCACGACGCGTTGTTTTTTAACTACACTAACAAACAGTACATCTCCCTCTTTAAGTTGGTGAACACTACCGGAATATGAGGTATACAGACCATTCTTCTTCCCTTGGAAGCCGTTTGATGCCACGGCTCGCATCAAGATACTCGTTGTGGCTTTGGATATTCGACAAACGAAAAATGCCAAGTAGCTCTGGTCGAACTTGTCCAGCTTTGAGTTGAATGGAACTTGAAAGTATAGCTGAGCATAGACAAAGTAGTTGCCGCTTTCCTTTATTATGATTGAACTCAGGTTGGCACCAAGCGAAGTCATTTTAGAACTTGCCGTTTTCCAAATATCCAGCACTTCTAAAATAAAAAATCCTTTTAGAATCCGTGTTTTTACTAAACATTTGACGGCACAGCATGGAATACTTACCATCATTCAATTTTCCCCGGTCGCTGTGATGCCCGGTTAAGTGCACCAGTGCAGGCCGTGACTCATTCACCTGTAAATCAGAGGCAATTACGCAGTTAGATTTGAAATAGGAAAAAAGCCTTACAAGACATTATAACAGACTGCACTTTCTGTTTTACGCGAACTTACTTTGATACCGCGTTCTAGTTCCCCTTTTAAATTGCTTCGTAGCTCCACAAAGGCTGTGATTACCAAGGCAGTGGGAAGTATGTGCAAAGCGCGTTATTATTTAAGCGTAAAATATGAGCAAGCAACCCATTAATGTGCCCTGCTACAGCACCCGCTCCATCATTTACCTTTCGCTCCACATTCACAATAGACACTTGTTTGTAAGGCATCTAAGATTAACTTGTGTAATCAATACTTCTTCACTCGAAGCCCATTTGCGCTGTAAAAAAGAAAGGAGCTCTTCTTGAATATTCATTTCAGAATCAAAATGCAAAAATGGACATTTGTCTTTTGCGAGATGTGACTCCAGCTTCATCTGCATGCATACCACACCGAACGATATCAGTTCTTTACCTATAGAAAATATAATATTTATTTGCACTCTTTTAGATTACTGGACTATTATAAACTTTGTATGTAACCTTAAGATGCTGCGTAAATCTGCAAATATAGGCCTATACCTTGCCAACTTTATAGGTACTAACTTCCGACAAATGGCCTTCGTTGGAAACGTCTAGACATCTGGGAAAGATTGTTGTGCGATACGAATTATACATACCCCAAAAAGGTCTACATCCAGTTTGAAATTGAAATGTAGCGTTCGGTCGTTGCCACTGCCATCTACTTGATGCAATCGCATTTCCCGAATACCCCATACCAACACAGAAACTAGGTTTACTTGTGCATCTAGGAGCCCATCAGGTAATTCACTAGTTCCAACAGTGTCGTAAGTAGCGCCAAACAGCACCACTTTCATTGCACAAATTTGGTTCTTTGTTGGAAGAATGGCGAAGTCTGTGGTTTTCTTAAATTAAACAATAGATAAACGTTTTTTCACATTGTATTGTCCTGGCTTTATCAGTTTTATCCTTTATAAATATGGAACAAATTGTCTAAACCTATGTTAGTTTTCAAACACAGTAGTTCACGAAATTCAAAAGGTACTGCAATGTTTGTATAACATTTACATTATACAATACACCATATTATGCAAAATTTATTGCATGGCAATTACAGTGCATTATACACATTTGTGTATTTTTGATATGTACTTGCCCACATAGTCTTACAGTACTATGTGTTTGTATGAAATATGAGAGAGGATATCAAATATCAACATACCCTAGGTGATCCAAGTTGGGTAAGGTTAAGTATAGGGTCTTCCATCTGAAAGCATCTGAAATTTTTGTTCTGATTCTCAAAAGAAGATAGGCCCAATCTGGCATTCGAATGGATTTTAGGAGAATTGACTGGCTTTGTTTCGAAAGAGTCGTGTTGAATGCTTCTTTGGCCTCCAGTCTTGAGAAGATCACATCCGTTGCCCCAACCACAACAAATTGATGCCAAATTGCCGATAACTTCGTTGATGTTTTCCTGATAGGCATACGCAACAACATTCCGGGATTTCATGAATTGGCCACCTTTTGTTTTAATGCGACGCTTTTTTTCTTGTGGCGTTATTTCTTTAGATTTAATGAGAGCGCTTGTGGAGGCGCGCGGCGATGTAATTTTGGCGGGAGATTGAAACGGTATGGATTTTGTCTATTTTATTTAGACACTTTCGAGCGCGCACAGAGAAAAACAGTCTCCTGTTCCTCATCTTTTTCTTTCAGAAGACGGGGTGTGTCTTTCCATCCGAACACGCTTCCGACTTGGCTCTAGCTCGCTTTCTGCCTGGTCGAAACAATCTTTAGTGTCGTCGAAGTTTTCTACACAGACGGTGTTTACTATGTTATCAATATTGCAATACGCTGTCGATTGCATTCATTCTGGACTAGGATGTTGTTGCCTTGCTTCTAAAAGATTTGTGATATGTCAATACTAAAATAAATATAAAATTAAAGTTTAAAAGCTCCAAAAAAGGAGCTGCTTTCGTTTGCGTTTACCACGACGCGTTGTTTTTTAACTACACTAACAAACAGTACATCTCCCTCTTTAAGTTGGTGAACACTACCGGAATATGAGGTATACAGACCATTCTTCTTCCCTTGGAAGCCGTTTGATGCCACGGCTCGCATCAAGATACTCGTTGTGGCTTTGGATATTCGACAAACGAAAAATGCCAAGTAGCTCTGGTCGAACTTGTCCAGCTTTGAGTTGAATGGAACTTGAAAGTATAGCTGAGCATAGACAAAGTAGTTGCCGCTTTCCTTTATTATGATTGAACTCAGGTTGGCACCAAGCGAAGTCATTTTAGAACTTGCCGTTTTCTAAATATCCAGCACTTCTAAAATAAAAAAATCCTTTTAGAATCCGTGTTTTTACTAAACATTTGACGGCACAGCATGGAATACTTACCATCATTCAATTTTCCCCGGTCGCTGTGATGCCCGGTTAAGTGCACCAGTGCAGGCCGTGACTCATTCACCTGTAAATCAGAGGCAATTACGCAGTTAGATTTGAAATAGGAAAAAAGCAATCTTACAAGACATTATAACAGACTGCACTTTCTGTTTTACGCGAACTTACTTTGATACCGCGTTCTAGTTCCCCTTTTAAATTGCTTCGTAGCTCCACAAAGGCTGTGATTACCAAGGCAGTGGGAATTAGGTTCCAGGCCAGAAGAATCATTACTATTTTAAACGTGCATGAAGTTGCTCTCTCCCCGTCTGTAGTGTGCTCTCTTGTGCATGCCATTGCGAGAATGTAGAGCTGGTCTGCTACAAAGTCGAATTTATACAAAGCGGCATCAAAGAAACAGCTACAAATATCACGCTGCGCTAGTTCTATCGCGAAGAATTTAACAGCGGCCAGGTGCACAGGAAACAGGTGTTTCGTTGAATATTCTGGCGTTAACTGCGTCATGGCAGTGTCGCATGCAGCTGTGCACCATTTCCTGCTTTTTCTCAATTTTTATTCCTTTATAGAAAAGTGTTTTTTCCTTAGGATTACTAGTAAATGGAGTATTTTCTAGTTTTCGCGCAGTGCGCGACACAGTAATAATCATCTCGAATCTTAACTTGAATCCCAACTCGGTTCACTAAGGGCAGATTGCCAGACCCGACAGTCCCGACTGGGAGGGATCCTAGTGGCTGGTTTGTGAAAAGAGGCCTTATAAGTCGAACATGGCAAATTTTCGAATACTGACTAATAGACCATTGAATGAATTGAAGTTAACGGCAACCAGGTATATATTCATTCATCGCAATTATCGCTACCCTGGTTTTAATTAAATAAAAGTAATCACCGCACAAAGATATGATAACTTTTATTTAATTAAGACCAGAGTGGTGATAATTGCGATGAAAGACCATTGAATATTTTCTAGAGCTGCATATTTGCATCGAAAGAAAATTTAAAACCTGAGTTTTTTTTCAGATTCTTCTTAGCCCCACTAGGACTTTTTTATTATGTTTTTCGAATAGCAGGCAAGATCTCGCCTAGTAGAGCTAGCCCCCTGGTAGGGCTAAACTCATCGCTTGTCGTTATTGTCACATGCACGAAGACGTCTGAAGGAAAAAATAATACTAGTAGTTTGTGAAATTTTATTATATATTTCATTTCCTATAAAGAGCTATACTCTTTTGTATATAATAACAATTAAGAGAAATATCAATATACTGATCTCTTGCAAGCGACATGATATTGCCGTGTGTTTGTTAATTAAAATAACTTTGACTGTTAGTTAAAAGCAAAGTGGTGTCGTAGACTTTTAAAGTTCCAAGGATTTGTAGTAATCGGTCGAATTAAAGACTCATGCTACCCAAGATGGCAGGCAACAGTGATACGCCATCATTGCAAGAGCCCAATAGTTGCATTAGTACAATAGTAAAAAAGGACGCCAATGACTGAAGTTGTCGGTTCTAGGTGGTTCTATATGGTTACTGCATGTGTAGAAAATTTATTTTCTCTTAAAATTTGGCCAATCATCACGGGTGTTTATTACTAGCATGACAAAATTATAGCCACAATTTTGTACTGCAATACAATTGATTTGCACAGCCAACCAGCATCCAGTAATTTTGTCATGATAATAATAAACTGTGTAATACATAAATGATGAAATTTTGTGTTCCATAAACACTGTTATTCCAACCTATTTAAATATTTAATTTCTGAATTTTCAGCATCCCATGTAACAAGGACGAAAGTATTTTGTGCATTAAGTTGTTAAATGTAGTCTGGGTGCAGCCCTTCAGTTATTTAGCAGTTTGACCCCTTTAAACCACATGCGCTGAGTTTGTCTTGTTTTGTCATGTTAGGCCTAGTTCATACGTCGCATTTTGGTCGCGTCGAATGCAATTCGAACAATAGATAAGGAGATGATAATGAGGCTGAATGAGGTTTACCATCTCATTAATTATTGTCTGAATTGCATTACACAGTTAATAGAATATATATGGTTTGGAGACCACATAAAACTACAATAAAACCACATAAAACTACACTGCAAGGTTGACTTTGACGACGTACATTCATGTAACTCAATTTTTATATCGTTTTGAATATGTTAATGTATTAAAGTACGTCCTCAAGAGAATAGAGTTAAATACCTTAAAGTGGAATTGTTGTACAGGTTAGGTAGCACCAACAATGCGAATATTTTTCTTAGAGGTTCAAATGCATATCCTTTTATTTATATTGACTGTTTTCTTATGCTTATTGAACTTGTGTAAATTCTATTGAAATTTACCTCTATACTTCAGTGCACATTTCATGTAATTGAAATTTCATAAGTGTTAATGATTTTTTGCTCGTTTAAATGAATATCCTTTTGTATCAACAATTGCTCCATCAGGATACAAAATTTCACACTTTTGACCTGCCTTAAAATAATGTTCTTTGAATGTGCCACATGCTTTTCTGTAGCAATTTCCAAAAGTTCCTGTTTTGTTGCATTCTTTTTCACACTGATATACAACCCTTTACCACGTTGTTTTTTAAGTCCAATGGAATCATCGTATAGCATAATACCGATGTTTACTCGGACACTCTCATCAAGATCTTCAGCTGGCTGTTTTCTCTTTCCTTTGACTGATCTAAACAAGGGCGTATGGAAGATATTATTGATATACTGATGGATCTGTAAACAGACATCCCGGCGCTGGAGGCTTCTCCATTCATTGGCTGCTTGTGCTCCCCACCTATGTTCTACTAGGCTGAGTGTTCTACTAGGCTGAGTTTACGACTATTGTCTTCGCTCGCAGATTAAACCTATGCATTTGGCAAGTTTAATGTATACTGTATTTCTATATTTTAAGATGTTACTAACATACAGATAACTCATATAATTCCTCCTTTAGTTTGAAACAATACGCCTAACATTCTTGCCATATTTTCCATTAAATCGTTTCGAGGGGAACAAGCTTGCTTTTTTACATATATATATATAAATATATATATATATATATATATATATATATATATATATATATATATATATATAATATATATATATATATAATTATATCAAAAAATGTGTAGGTTGATAACACAAGTAGCTGTATATAAAAAAAGTTTGTCTCGGAAGCAATGAAGATCAGACAGAGGATATCAAACAACACTAAATCTAATCATTTTGCACAAACGTTTTCGCTTTATTGAAAGCTCCTCAGGTGCTGAATACTTTGTAAGAAATGAGTTGTGATATCCTATATTTACATATTTCACTGGTTTGCCACTACGTCACTACACGTGTGGTGTTGGATTACTTAATGGTAATTATTTACATAAATATTTCACACAAACAAAGATATGAAAATATATAACAAAATTTTACATAAACTGCATGGTATTATTATTGACATGAATTTAAATCCGGCTGAAGTATAGTTATAATGTCTCTTTCCTTCGACTCCCTGACTAAGCGGTCTGAATGACTGTCACATTGATAAATCGGCATAATCTGGAAGTTGCCATTGCTACATTTTCTGATGTGCTCACTTACTGCTAAGTGGCAATATTCTTTATGGTTTATTTGCTGTCTGTGTAGCGTAACTCTGTGACGGAGATTTTCAGTTTGGCCGACATAAAAACTTTTGCATTTTGTGCAGAGTAGAACGTATATAACGTTCCGCGATTTACAATTCATCTGACATTTTATATTCCACGCTTTGCCGTTCTTCAGTTTGATACATATATATATATATATATATATATATATATATATATATATATATTATATATAATATATTATATATATATATATACACCCATTTGCAAAAACGTTGGCCGCAGATAGATAGATAGATAGATAGATACTCGAAATCTAATTAGAATTGCATATGTTGTATAATATTATAGAAATCCCATGCAAATGTAATCATATGCAATTCTAATTAGACTTCGAGTATCTATCTATGAGTTAGTACGAGGTACCATGAGTTACCCATACTACCTCAGGTAGAGTAATCATTCGCCTTATGATCGTTTCAGAAGAAACGTGAAACACAGAGTGTAGCGAACAATATATTCAAAATTTTGTAATATTTCATTGATTTTATTTTAATCGCTCAATTAAAGTTTGATATCGAGCACTCTTTCTTCTTGGATACTTTACTTAATTGTGTATATATATATATATATATATATATATATATATATATATATATATATATATATATAATGTTGTAATATATATATATATTACACTTTTATTTCAAATAAAACCATTCGCCATCGGGCTGCCTATGCATGGTAGAACTCATACGCCACTATATCCGGGGTATAGAGTGCGGATATTTTTCATATGTCATGTTCAGGAGTGACACAACGAGTTTCGAAAATTCTCTCGCCATTTTCATTGTTGCTGTTGTGAAAATACAAATGGTGTTTTATAGTTCGCATATAAAACGAAATTAACGTTGGAAATACAAAATAAAACACTTAAAAGACATCTTTAGATAAGTGAAATTCATTTTACTTGAAAGTTTAGGCTGTAATTTAAAAAATATTCGCTTTTATAATGGTCTTTTGCGGCGTCTTACTTGTCATTTTTGTGTGTATTTTTGTCACTCTGATTTTAGTTCATATAATAAACAGAACATTACACGGTTCGCTCGAAGATATGAATTTCAAAAACAGTATTTCAGATAAACGGATATTGTTTTTCCCGCTCGAACATAAAATCCATATTTACTCACGTAAAATGGCTTGCACGTTCCTTCTCTTTTTGTGCTTTAAACTCCACAGGGTGATGAGAGGTTTTCGTTCCACAGCTGAACAAAATTTATCATTTAAATCCACTTTAACTCCGCAAGAGGAGCAAAACATGCTTATGATGTTTCTTTGTAAATATGTTTCGTTTTCGATTTTCACAATTCATCCAGAAAGCTGTGTCTTCTGATTGAAATTTCATAAATGTTAATGATGTTCTTTTCGTTTAAATGAATATTCCAAAGTTTTATTGGTGTACAGCACAATGTTATTGAATATTTGTTTGTGTTTAATGCCGAGCAAAAGGTGTAACAGTCTTGTTATACAAGTTGTGAATATAAATGCACCAGAATTAAACATTTGTGAATCGGATATATCCACAAGTCATCGTCTGCCTGCGGCTGGGGGACGCATGAAACCAATCATCGTCAAATTTGTGAGACGTGATAACGGAGATGCAATATATAGGAAAAAAAGATATCTTAATTCAAAAAGCGTTACGGATGTTGGGTTCCAACAGAATAGCCGATTGTATATAAACGAAAGTCTTACTGTAAAATCTCGGGTTACCCTTAATAAAGTTAAAGAATTCAAAAGGCGACACCATTTTAAATTTG